CTATAAACCTGTGAAGGATCCCTGTAGCCGTGTCATTGTTATAGTACTGCTGTTAAGAAGGCCACGATACTGTAACAGTACGCCGAAATGCTATTCATTAAATAATAAATTCCAAAAATCCGCTGATATAGTATGGTTTATTAAACTTTTAGGTCAATATCAGCATAGTCACACAGACTACACCTGATCTTGTTATATTAACAAGAGTACATTCTAGCTATATTTATATTTTTTAAGCATTTAATTTAAGTAATTTATCTATTACTAGATTCTATACTAGTGCTGTATCTGCAATCTACTATTATTTGAGTTATCTAATTAAACTCTTTGATCAATTTTACACCATCAGATATCTTGTCTAAAGAGTTATCTGCGCTAAGGCCTGCTAAATCTTTAAAGCAAACATACACTTTCATATAGAGAGATCTTTTAACCTTGTAGTAAACCTACTAGAGTGGTCCATATCCTATACATATATCATCTAGATTTTCAGTAACTTATACTGAGTTCAAAAACAAGTACTTGCAAGCTAAAGCTGCTACCATTACTTACTTTATACTCTTGCAAAGTTCGCTCAAATCCTAGTACACATTTAACAATCCATATTTCTAGTTTTCCAAACTAAGCTCTACTTCTGATTTTCCAAACTTCTAATCCAAATAGCCCAAAAGGGCTATAACCTGCTTCTGGTACTTACAATTAGGTTCTTTTCCTCTAGTTACTTATCTAATAGCCTGGTTGGATAGAGTGTTTTATCAAACACTTTGTCCTATTTGGTTGCTTCTTTCTGCTGTTTGGTTTCTTCTTTTCAGATTATTAAATAATACTGGCGAAAATTTGTGCTACCTCTCTGTTCAGGTCTTGCCAAACAGATTTCTATATCCTAATTTGCTAGTTTTACTTAGCAGCTTCACTGTTATACAACTTATATATTATATAGTATTTTCACTGCCTCCCAGTATAACAGTACTGGTGTGACTCTGTTATAGGCAAGAATGTATGTTTTTGATGTCTAAAACCTTTTTTGGCATGTTCAACATCCAAACATCCAAGTGTCTAAAGCTCATTTAAGCTTTAATAATTAAAACATTTATTTTAAAAAAACATGATTATATATTTTATTTAATTTTAAATATTTTTATTTAGAAAATTAAAATAGGTTGTTTTAATAAAATTTTAAGTAATTTTAATATTTAAAAATGTTCAAGATGTTTAAACTTTGTCCAAAGGCTGTCCTGTGACATCTCTGGGTATGGGTATAAACATTTATTAGGTGATTTCTACCACTTAAAAGGATACCCCCCCTACCTGAGTAATATTATATAGTCTAATACTAATATGTATATAATTATTAATAGTTACTCTATAGTAAAGTCAAAATTTTACTAAGTAAATCAATATATATTATTAAGTAAAAATTATTCAGAAGAACAAAATATATATATTTTAAAAGTTTTATTCTAATTGAAGATTTTTTTATTAATTCATTTTTATATATTATATTTGATAAAAAATTTAAAAATTTTTAAAATTTGAGATTTTTAATTTATTGCACTAGACAATATATTACATTCCAATTATATAATATAAGATTTTGAATTTAGACTTTACAGTTAATTTATATTATCAACAACAATGATGACCCATTTTTGTATTCAGGTTTATAAATTTAAACTGATGATTCACCAGGTTTCAAATTAAAACTCAGCTGATTGTTTATATTATTAATCTATTCTCATAAATAGCACAAGCCATTTAGCTTTTTTTTAGTTCTTTTTCCCTTTGTTTGCTAATATACACTCATATCTAAACATGAAAAATACAAATAATAAAAAACTAATAAATGTACCTGATAAAATCATACTTAGAAACAGTAATAGTGATACTTAATACTATTTGTACAATATAGAACAGCAAAATGCATCCAATATTTATTAATAAAAAACTTTAAAGTGTTATAACTCTTTTTTTTTTTTTTTTTAAGGTGTTCTTCAGAACTAAGCTTTATTGATATTTATCATTAACCACATAAGTCTATATTTTTAGTATTACAACAGAAAATCCTAGTTATATATATCTACCAATTATTTTAAGCTAAGTACTTTATACCGAAGTACTCCACTATCTTACTTGGACTTGATTATCTTGTTAGTTGCCTATAGGTTTTCACAGGTAGGCATAGTGGCAGCTTTGCTAGATTCTTCCTACCCACAATCTGGCTAATCTAGGCTTCAGTAACTTATACTGAGTCTGAGAACAAGTACTTGTGAGCCGAAGCCACTACCATTACCTACTTCTGCTCTTGTAGAGTTTACCTAAACCCTAGTATCCACTTTACAGACCATCACTAACTTTTCTAGTCACTAACAGCTCTCTAAACTCCCAACCCAGATAGTCTGGGAAGGACTAGTAGGCGTCTTTTGGTATTTTGAATGAATCCTTTTCCTCTAGCTAGTTCAGCAGCCTGGTTGGTATTAGTGTTTGCCAAACACCCGGTCCTCATCCGATTTTACTGCCAATATCCAGTTTGCCAATGATTTTCTTTTACGTAGTACTGTTGAAGATTTTGTGCTACTTCTCTACTCAGAACTTGCCAAGCGGGCTTCCATATGCTGTGAGCCTGAGCTTTAGATTTATATAGTTGTATAACTCGTATATTACACAGCCTTCCAGAACAAGCTGATATGACCAAAGTTATAGACATTCTATAAATTCTAAATTTCATTGCCAGTAGGATTTGAACTCTTGTCCTGCCGCTTAGAGGTGCGACAACTTACCAACTTCACTAAATCGCCACACCCTTTTTATAACTCTTTTAAAACAAGCTAAATCAAAAAACCTCTAACAAATTAATAGATTTTTAGATAAACTATATTTATGTCAGAAGATTTTTTTTTATTTTTTGTTTTAAAAAAGTTATAAAGGATTAAAGTTTATATGAGTTCAAAAAATTGGTGTCTAATATAGAAAAAAAAAATATATATATTTTTTAACCAATTAGAATCAATATATAAAAATTAGCCAATCAGAATTAATTATATAAGCATCAAAAATTGGTGCCTATATGTATGGATTGAATGTCTTATACTGTTCTGACTGTATAAAGTTTACTAAAGTGATATAAACACTAATATGAATGTTAATGTAAATTCTAGCATGAATATAAGTGGTGATATAAACATCAGTTTAAACCCTAGTGTAGATACTGATATGAACTTTGGTGTGAATACTAATATGAACTTTGGTGTGAATGCTGCTATGAACTTTGGTATAGATGCTGCTATGAATTTGAATATAAATACTGCTAAAAATTTTAGCATAGACATTGCTATAAACTTTAATGTAGATACTGTTATAAACTTCAATAAAGAAGCTGCTGTGAGCTTTGGTGCAGATGCTTTTATGAACTTTGATGAGAAAGCTGCTATGAACTTTGGATCAAATAGTTTTATAAACTTTGGTTCAAACAATTTTATGAACTTTGCCCTAAACAGTTTTATAAACTTTGGTATAGATGCTGTAAATGTTGATACAGATGCTTCTTTGAACATTGTTATAAACTTTTGTATGGATGCTAGTATGGACGTTGGTGTAGACATTGATGTGATTTCTGATATGAATATTGGTGTAGTTGCTGATATAAATATTTGTATAGAAGATGAAATCTTGTATAAAGATGAAATGTCATATGAAAATAGCAAAGGTATTATATTAGAAAAGGACTAGTCATTTGATAATTTTGATTAAGCAGTAGAATATATACAAAAATATACTGAATATACAGGTTTTAAGATAGTACTAAAAAAAAATACCACTATCTAAACTAATAAAGATGAAAAGGTAATGCAAAAAAGGATAATTTACTGTTATCATTTTGGCAAATATCAGTATACAAACTCTGAAAAAGCTAGAACAACTATAAGAAAAGGTTGCAAATAGCATATCAACCTCTCAATGCTTCTAAAACAAAACCCAAATTCATGTGTTTTTGTAACTACTTTTGAAAATAAACATAATTATAAAATATACTCTGAGGTATTACAGTTCAAGAAACTAAAAGCATTTACTAATGAAATGCAAAAAGATATTGAGTTCTATATAAAAAAATGTCATTTTGGTGTGACAATAATAAAGAAAATTTTAAGAAAAAAGTACTTTTCTCATTCAGTTTATACTAAGGATCTTTATACAGAAATTTAATAGCATAAACTATCAATATATTATAATATAACAGATGCAGCATGGTTTTATAAGGAGTTACAAGCTAAAAAATATAAGGATCTATAATAGTTTATTGAAGCAACCTAAACAAATATTCTTATAGTGATATTCTGGATGAGTTCTAAACAAATTATAATATAGTATGAGTTTGGTAAATCAGTTGGTTATGATAATACCACTAGAACTAATTGTTATAATATATCATTCACTTTTCATAATTATAAATGATAATATGAAGCCAAGAATAGTTGCTTAGACACTTTTAAGTAATAAAACTATAGAGTCATATCAATAAGTTTTACATATGACAAAAAAAGCAAATCATGAATATATACCTAATGTATTTGTTACTGATAGAGATCTTGCTATAGAAGGTGTGATTATAGCAGAATATTCTACAACCCATCATATTCTTTGTATCTGACATTTGAAAGAAAATATTTATTCCTTTGGCAATCTTATTTACTTTATTATGGGAACAGACTTTTATTCCTATAAACATAAGAAATCTCAATCTATAAGTGTTCCAACCAAAATGTAAACTCACTCACAACGTATCTCGCACATGCTATAACATCTACTTGCAATCAGGGCAAACCATTAAACTCCTGTGTTTTGCTCAGATGCAATCTGCCTAGCAATACTTGGCCTTCTCCAAAGATCCAGAACTCACTCTGAACTTATTTACTCTGGATTCCTCAGCTAGCTATTGCTTACTCTGTCAAGATTCCTACTCTATAATAGAATGCTGCCAAACTGATAACACTTTCTCATAGAAAAAGAAAAAAGAAAAAAAAAAGAATAATGAAAAACAAAAAAAAGTGGTAAAAAATAAAACTAATACATCAAAGAAAATAGATACTAATACTAAGGAATATAAAAAAAAACTAAACTAAAACCTAAAAGAAACTATTGCTAAAAAGACTGCTAACTAGACAAAAACTTTTAATTATACAGAGTCACGATTCAATATTAAGTGTAAGAGTCTTGACAAGAAATTTAAAACTAAAATAAAATGCACTATAACTCGTGCTAAAGGCTAAAAATTATATACAGGTGATTAGAGGATGCCTATATATCTCTTTTTACTTTGCTTTACTCTTTTAATTAAATCCATATCTTTATTCAAAAGTATAAGAATTTTAAAATCTCCATGTACCCTATCCAATAATCACGTGTTTGTATATTTTCAACAATACAACATGTAAGATATTCTTCTGAACACTCATCCAATTACTAAATTTACTAGCACCGACCATTTTACACGTGTTGTTTGTTATCATGCAGAATTTTCTGATATGGAAGTAGTAAACATTGCCAATCTTTTGAAGGGGGTATGACAAATTTCCCACTTTTTGTCAAAAGTTATAGCCAAAAGTATCGAAGGGAAAAAAATACTGTATTTGCAAGAGCTCAAGACAATAAAAGTGTTTCTAGTTGTTTTTTATAAAACTAAAAAGCTTCAAACACTTGAGTTAGAAGTTTTTTACCACTACTATTACCAAAATAACCCTTTTGGCTTGGATGCCGAATGTGTAAAGAAGTCCACCAAGAAGAAAAGCTTGACCCAAAGCATAAACCAACTATATATGCCTGCTCCTTGGTATTTTACGTATAAGTCTTTGTCGACAACAGTACCAATAAGAAACCTCAGGTATCTTTGAACTTTTTAGAGCCTTGAATCTTCAAACTGTTTTGGTGCAGTCTTAATTCAAGTGATCATTAGAAAGAGTTGTATTTGATTTGAAAGAAAATATTAAAAAAGCACTTTGCAGAAAACTTGATACATTATCATAAAAGTCTGATTTGTATACCCCATGCCATATACCTCTATAAGTTTTAATAGGTAGACAGTGATTTATACCCAAGTACAAGGTATATATAAAATTTACTTTTGAATATTAACAGTACAATACGATAATTTATACCTGGGTACAGGATATATAAAATATATACCTCTAATAATATAATAAATATTTATATATAATACCAGAGCAGCTCTCAAAATTATCAATGTTACTGTATCAGCTAATACTATATATAAAGTAATATGAATTATAATGCAAATTCTTTAAATAATAATAATAATAAAAAGACTACTTTATTCATGTTAATAATAACTTAATACAGCATCAGTGCTATCGATCATCAATTTGAACTTCAGAGCCATTTTGGCATCATCTGTATTAATGTTTTCAACAATATTTAAAAAGTTAAAAAAAAATTTTGCCTGTTTTATATTATTTAATTCGCTTTATATTTTTTATTTGTTTTCATAATATCTAACAAAATTATAAAACAAATAAAATTTAACTATTATTCCCAAACATTGTCAC